ATAAGTGATCTAACCTGATCAGAAGGGGATCACTGTCTGGCCACGCCCTGCTAGACGGCTGCCTGTTCACCTATGTTGAAATGAGGAGGGGGTGTACCTGCAAGACATTTCGATGCCAAAGTGAGAAATTGGACAGAGTGACAACAAATACAAAAAGTGGTAGAAAAATGGAATACCTGCCCCTCTTGTGGAAAAGGGTATTTATAGAGAGACCCCAGCGCTGGGCCAACGGTCATTTTGAGGTGGACTGGATGGCCAGGCCCAACCCAAATGACTGCTAGGGCTTACGTGGCGTAGTGAAGACCAGGACGTGGTCTTCGCCCTAGTCTAACTGTCCCGTGATCTCCAGAAAGTGGTTTTGACCTGCTCTTTCAGAGGTGGGCAGTTGGGTTGTGACGTGTCGCCGCGGAGAGGAGCACGTGGAGAACGTGTGGAGGACATGTTGTTCTGCCCGACGGGGAAGGTTCTGCCCGACGGAGGGAAGGTCCTCCCCGACGGAGGGAAGGTCCTGCCCGACAAGGGAAGGTCTTCCCGACAAAGGAGATGGCAAGGGCTGCCTGGTTGGCAGCCAAGGACCTGCTCGACAGAGCTTCTGCCCGACGAGGGAGAGGGTTGAGGCTGGCTGGTTGGCAGCCAAGGTCCTGCTCGACATAGCTTCTGCCCGAAGAAGGAGAGGGCAAGGTCTGGCTGGTTGGCGGCCATGGTCCTGCTCGACAGAGCTCCTGCCCGACGAAGGAGAGGGCAAGGGCTGGCTGGTTGGCAGCCAAGGACCTGCTCGATAGAGCTTCTGCCCGACGAGGGAGAGGGCAGAGGCTGGCTAGTTGGCAGCCAAGGTCCTGCTCAACGGAGCTTCTGCCCGACGGAAGGAGGGTTCTGACCGACGGAGGGAAGGTCCAGCCTGACGGAGGGAAGGTTCTGCCCGACGGAGGCAGTGTCTGGTCGACGGGGGAGTCTTATGCTCGACACAGATGAGGAAGGCTCCTTTGGGCCTTCCCCTAAGTGTATGTGGGTTGGGCCTTCCCAGTCAGGTCGGGGCCCAGGCCAGAACAGGAGCCCCCCAAGTCGTAGCTCCGAGGTGAGGGAGCGAGAACTTGATAATGTTGCACTTAGGCGGGAAAGTGTGCCAGGGAGAGCTACTGCTGAACGAAGATGTCGAGGGAGTGTTCCTAACGGACGAATGAGAGGGCAAGGGCTGGCTGGTTGGTAGCCATGGTCCTGCTCGACAGAGCTTCTGCCCAGCCAAGGTCCTGCTCGACAGAGCTTCTGCCTGACGAGGGAGAGGGCAGGGGCTGGCTGGTTGGTAGCCAAGGACCTGCTCGACAGAGCTTCTATGTGACGAAGGAGAGGGCAGGGGCTGGCTGGTTGGCAGCCAAGGTCCTGCTCGACAGCTGGGGGTTGTGCCAGTTTATTGTAACGTTTTGACTTCTGGACTTGTGCCCGTTTGATAATATAATTTAAGTGTGCGCTTGTTTTGTTTCTGCATGATGATATGCCTGTTTTATTTCTGCACGTCTGTATGCTCGAAATATATATATTTGTGTTTGAAATGTATGTCTATTCGGGGGTAGCTCGACGATAATCGTTGCCGGTAGTGAAGGAAACTGGTCGGCTGCCCGGGTTGATTTCCGATTTGTTCGGGGGTAGTTTTTTTCCCCGCGGTGTGGACGTCTCATCGCGAGCTGGGTGTCCTGCCAATTTGGGTACGACGGGGGTCTCGATTGAGGTGCCCCTATCGAGCATGGTCGTCTTCCCACGCACACAAGAGGCAGGGCTTGCTGTTTTTGTTGGTCTCTGGGAGACGCGAGGAGGTGTGACGGTACCATGCCGCCCCCCTTGTAGTCGCGACGCTTGGGAGTCGTAGGCAGTGTTTAACTGTAATATATTTTTTTGGCTTCTCAGCGTTCCATGGTGGAGCTATATGGTCTCCGTGTAGGTTTTTGAGGTAGTAGGTCTCGTGCTTGGTCTTGTCCCGAACATGGTAGGGGCATTCCCAATTTGTGGCAAGTTTGCCCTCGTGTGAGTCCTTTTGGATTCTCGGAGCAGAAAGAGGTCGGCTGATTAGCAGCCAGGGTCCTGCCCGACGGAGGGAAGGTCTGCCCGACGGGTCTTCTCCTCGACGAAGGAGAGGATGAAGGCTGGTCGGACTCGAGGTTCTTGCCCGACAGGGGGAGGAAGGTTGTGCTCGACGAAGGAGAGGACAAAGGCTGGCTGGTTGGCAGCCAGGGTCCTGCCCGGCGGAGGAAAGGTCTGCCCGACGGGTCTTTTGGTTGACGAAGGGTCAGCTGGTTGGCAGCTAGGGTCCTGCTCGACGGGGTCCTCTACTCGACGAAGGAGAGGACAAAGGCTGGCTGGTTGGCAGCCAGGGTCCTGCCCGACGGGGGGAGGAAGGTTGTGAACAACGTCGTCATGGAGGGGGGGCAGTCATGATCCTGAAGTTTTGAGATGAAGCTTTGGTTCTCTGCTCGGAGGAACAGGGAAGCTTAGTTCCCACAGACGGCGCCACTGATCTGACCTGATCAAAAGGGGATCACTGTCTGGCCACGCCCTGCTAGACGGCTGCCTATTCACCTGTGTTGAAATGAGGATGGGGGTGTGCCTGCAAAACATTCCGATGCCAAAATGAGAAATTGGGCCGAGTGACAACAAATACAGAAAGTGGTAGAAAAATGGAATACCTGCCCCTCTTGTGGAAGAGGGTATTTATAGAGAGACCCCAGCTTTGGGCCAACGGTCATTTTGAGGTGGACTGGATGGCCAGGCCCAACCCAAATGACTGCTAGGGCTTACGTGGCGTAGTGAAGACCAGAACGTGGTCTTCGCCCTAGTCCAACTGTCCCGTGATCTCCGGAAAGTGGTTTTGACCTGCTCTTTCGGAGGTGGGCAGTTGGGTTGTGACGTGTCCCCGCGGAGAGGAGCACGTGGAGAACGTGTGGAGGACACGTTGTTCTGCCCGACGGAGGGAAGGTCTGCCCGACGAAGGAGAGGGCAAGGGCTGGCTGGTTGGCAGCCAAGGACCTGCTCGACAGAGCTTCTGCCCGACGAAAGGAGTGTTCTGCCCGACGGAGGGAAGGTCCTGCCTGACGGAGGGAAGGTTCTGCCCGACGGAGACAGTGTCTGGTCGACGGGGGAGTCTTGTGCTCGACACAGATGAGGAAGACTCCTTTGGGCCTTTCCCTAAGTGTATGTGGGTTGGACCTTACCGGTCAGGCCGGGGCCCAGGCCAGAACAATAAGAAATCCACTTATAGTAAAGTTGTTTTGGAAAAAACAATTTTTTAAATTAATTTTATACTTTAATTAAAATCTATACACAATTTTCAAAATAATATTTTTTAATTTAGTTCTTAACTTATGCTATTAAGGTACAAGTTAGAATTACCCTACCCTTAAAATTAATATCTCTTGGTGTCTCAAATTTTTCTATTATGCATTTTCATCTCTCCATATTTATGTTGAACTTTAATGTGTTTATTATGTCTATTATATGAAAACAGATAACAACCGAACAACTCTTTTGTCACCGATAGATTAATGTTTGCTTCAATTTAGTTTGTCTTGTTTAGTTTTATCCACCACACGAGACTCAAACAATACCACATTATTTCCCATCTACTCCTCGGTGTCCTCCTTTTAGTGCTTCAACTGCAACGATGTTGCTTCAATCTTTTAGGTTCTGGTTTTTCAAATGTAACATATGAACTTTACTAATAAGTAGTTGATATGACTCATAACTAAATCGAATGGATCTTAATATTTAAGCTCCACTTTTGGTCCCATACTTTGATTTTTTTAATTTTAAGTAGTTCAATCTTTTGTGTATTGATGTGAAATTTTTAGATATAAATTATTTTCAGATGTGAATTTTATGATATGAATTTTTAGTTATTAATAATATAGGATGTTGTTGGGTGGTGATGAGTTAGGGGATGAAGGTGTGATTAAAGATGGTGTTGATGATGATGAGTTATAATATTGATGATGAAGGAGACAATGAAGAATTTGAAAAGTCTGAAGATGAAAGAAGAATTTGATGAATGCAGAATGAAAATATGAAGAAAGGGAAAAAAAATAGGATTTAAGTTTTCTAATTAGTGATATTAATTTTATTATTAAGAATATAATTTATTAAATCATTCAATAAAAACTAATAATTAAATATTCTTGTAATTTAATTTTAAAGATTATTTTTAAAATATAATAATTTGTATTAATTAATATTAAAGAATTTTATAAATATGAATTAATGGAATTATTTTATATAAAAAATATTGAATAATAAATCATCTTAATCATCATTTTCATGTCATTAAAAATATTTTTCTATCTAATCATCAAGGCCACACGCACAAAATTGAAGGGGACCAATCAAATCTAAGTGATATAAAGTTTAATGATTAAAAAATTAGTTTTTAAAATGAATAATTAAACATTAAAATAATAAAACTAAAAATACATTTAAGTTAATTGAAAATTGTTAAACTCTTTTAGCTATTTAAAATAATTTTCGAACTGATTTATTAGACATGCTCTTAGATGTATTTTGAAATATTTTAAACTTGGTTGTTGCAAAAAAAAACTACAATAATTATCAAAGTTATATTTTGATACACTTTTTTCATGTTAGGAAGTTAGATATTAATTTTTTTTTCAGGTTTGTAATTTTACAATGTTATTGAGTAAGTTTATTAAAAAATAATAATTAAAGGGATTTATAATTTTAATTCAAACAATAAAATTAGAATTTGATTCTTTAATTCCAGCACATCATTAGTGATTTAAAATATATAAAAAAACTGTTTTTCCTTTTCACAAATTCTTTTTTTTTAATGATTATTTAATACATTAAAAGAGAATAATAATAATAAGATAATCTTTAGTGCAGATTCTGTAATATTAAATTTTTTAATAATAATGTTATTTATAAGCTATTTGTATTGGAATAAGAATATTATCTTATTCTTATAGTTAAACTGATTTTTGTGGCTAAGAAAAGAACCAAAAATGGCGGAAACCATGGGAATCGGAGAAGATAAATCAATCAAAGGGTTGGAAGGCACTGGCTTAGTTTCACCCATCAACCCTCACTCTAACTTGAAAAGCGCTTCCTCTGATGATGACTTCACCCAAATCCTCACACATGTCAAAACCTCCAAAATTCCGGTAACCAGCCATTCTCCCTTTTTTTCTGTGATTTGTCGTAGAAACTGTGTATTTGATTGTTCTGTTACATGATTGTTTGCAGGCTGTTATCAATTATGGAGCTTCATGGTATGTTGTTAATGTTTAATCCAAATTATTGTATTGAGTTTTTTGAACACCAGGTGTTTGATGTTGGAACTCTTAGAATATACCATATAGTTTGGATTTGAATTAATGGAATTGAACATCATAGGAGAAATTGTGTTCATACATAGCATTTTTTAAGATAGTGGTTGTTAAGAAACTCAATTCAGCAGATTTGGAGAAATTGTGTGTAGGATAGTGTCGGTGATGTGTGCTTTTTTTACTGTTTTTTCAGGTGTCGAGTTTGCAGTCAAATTCTCCCTGCATTCTGTAGATTGAGCAACAAATTCCCAAAGATGTCCTTTATATATGCGGATATTGATGAATGCCCGGAAACGACTCAACACATTCGATATACTCCGACGTTCCAGTTTTTTCGAGATGGTGAAAAGGTAGATGAGATGTACGGTACTGGAGAAGAGAGGCTGCATGATCGTCTGTGGTTGCATTCGTGAAGACATGTTATGATGTAAACATTATGTTTGTAATTTCTCTATTGATGTAAGATTGACAATTGGCAATTGCCTATCATCGACCATTAAATGTATTTTAAATTGAAGCCTAATTATTGAATCATTTCATTAGAAACTACTGCTGTAGAAAACTGGTAAGCAAATTCAAATTTTGACTTCAATGAAAAGATATATCAAATCAATACGATCACAATCTTGAGTTTACACCAATAACACTGGATTGGTCGAAAACAATCAATAGAGAGATAAGGAAAATACAATCTAAAATGTAACTGACGAAATTTAAATGAATTGGTAAAAAACTAAAAGCAAGACCAGCTAAGAGAAAATATCATCATCTCTGTTTCCTTTTCTCATACAATCCCTGAAACATGTCTTCAATAAGAGGTGTATGAGGCATTGAAGCTCCTTTATTTTCGTCTCACCCAAAATCTGAAAGATGGCTACGATGATAACCACCAATATCAATGCTAAGGTCGCTTGTTAACTCAAGCCTTGGGCTTGAGTATCTTGACAGTCTCCCAAGTGAAATCAGGATCATCACGTCCAAAATGGCCATAAGCAGCAGTCTTTTGGTACCTGAAGTTGCCACCTCTTTTGAGGTCAAGATTGTTGGAAATCATTCCTGGCCTGAAGTCAAAATTCTCCTTGATGAGAACCAAGATGTCCTTGTCTGGAATCTTTCCTGTTTTGTATGAGTCAACAAATACAGAAAGTGGCTCTGGGACTCCAATTGCATAAGAAACCTGCACAATACAGCGTCTTGCAAGCCCCGAAGCTACAACACTTTTAGCTGCTTGCCTAACAATATATGCACCACTTCTATCGACCTTGGTTGGGTCCTTGCCAGAAAAGGCACCTCCACCATGAGCACCCCAACCGCCATAGGTGTCAATAATGATCTTCCTACCGGTGAGTCCTGCATCTCCATGAGGTCCACCAATCACAAACCGACCAGAGGGATTGAGATGGAAGATAGTCTTGTCATCAAGGTATTTAGCCGGGATAACAGGTTTTATCACGTGCTCTTTTAAATTTGCAGCGATTTGTTCATTGGTGACAGTTTCGTCGTGCTGAGTTGAAATGAGGACAGTATGCACACGGATTGGGACCATGGCTCCATTATCATTCTGGTACTCAACAGTCACTTGGGTTTTACCATCCGGCCTAAGCCACGGGCATGTTTTGTTCTTTCTAACTTCAGTGAGCTTTGCACCAACTTTTGTAGCAAGCACATGAGTGAGTGGCATTAGCTCAGGTGTTTCGTCAGTGGCATAGCCAAACATGTGGCCTTGATCACCAGCACCAATATCCTCTGGCTTTTTGGACAAGTGACCATGAACTCCTTGAGCAATATCAGGACTCTGTTGCTCAATGTTGACAAGAACTTTGCAGTTGTCAGCGTCAAGACCGACATCAGCCGATACAAATCCAATTCCTCTGCAAGTGTCTCTAACTATTTTCTCATAGTTCACATTAGCCTGGGTTGTGATCTCACCAAAGACCATAACCATGTTAGTCTTTGTACATGTCTCACAGGCAACCTTACTTTCCGGGTCTTGCTCCAAACATGCATCAAGGATGGCATCTGAAACCTGATCACACAGCTTGTCGGGGTGACCTTCGTTTACAGATTCTGAAGTGAAGAGGAAGGTTTCCATCTCTGGTTTTAAGAGGAAATAAAAAACGCATGAGAAGAAAATTCACAGTAAGTTGTCATGTAATATGAATCTTACATGAAGCTAACAGTCATCAACTTATAACAAATTGTGATTAATTTACACAGCAACGACCCAATCAATGTCGCAACACGTGTACCGATCGAAATCGCAAAAGTTCGCAATGCAACCGCAACCGTTATCTAAAATCATTGAATTGAATGCAGATCTGTAAACCAAAAACAGATCCATACACATTGCCAATGTTTCTACTATCATTCATATCGAATCTGACATTTTCATTTTCATTTTCAATTACTTCACCGCCAATCCATCACAAACATAAAACATAATAAACCACAAACAAAAAACAAAGCTAATAATTTAGATCTGCTAAATCTACAACAAACAAGAACAGTAATGCATTATCCTACATACATATCAGATAAACTAATCCAACAATAAATCGCATAACAGATCCAAATTAACATGGTAATTTCACATACATTGAAACCAACACGTACATTCAAATCAACAATTGGTACAAGAAGCTAGATCTGAACAAGAATGCAAGAATAGAAGCAAATTCTAAGAAACAAGCAAGGCATTGTAGATTTAGATCCGAGATCTAATAAATAGAAACGGTAAAAGAATCTAATAATAGGAAAATGAATTTGGATGATTGAGAATGAGAGAATTTACGTACCAAATTGTGGTGGTTGGAGTTAGAACGTAGAAGAGGAAGACGAAGCGACAAGTTATCGGTTGTAACAGAAAATGTGAGAGTAAGAGAAAAACAAAGATAGTGCTTTATATATATCTAGAGACGCACATGTATTCAGACAAACAGAAAATTTACGAAAGACTCGCTCTTCTATTTTATTGATTTTTACAATTTTCTACCTCTCAATTATTTGCTGCTCGTTGGTAAAAATAAATAAATTTGAAAAGTTAATGTGCATCAATCATATTCATTTGGGGGATCCATTCGTTTTTAATTATAATTAAAAATTTAAGAAAAAAATGCTGTGAATTTAGTCTAAAATTTGGAGTTAATACATCCATTTTTTGAGTTAGGAATAGAGGGAATATTAGATAATATAATAATAAATAAAACCTATTATCAATTGGAAAATGAAAAAGAATAAAAATAGATATCTTAGTATTTTGGGGAAGATTCCTGTACCTAATTGGTTTGTACGTACCAGAAGTGGTCCAATAAAGTTATCCATGTGTTTCACATGTGACATTGTATTAAGTGTATTATTTATTTTTTCTTAATTGCGATTTTGGTTTTCGTATTTTTCTTTTTTTAGTTTTGATCTCCTTAATTTAATATTTGAAATTCTACTTTTAATGTTTTATGTTGAATTTTAGTCTCCAGTCCATTTAAATGTCATTTTAAATGACAATTAAATTGGTGATGTGACTAACTTATGTGGCGGAAAAAACAATTTTCACATCATTTATAATATTTGTATTTAAATAATATATATTAAATTAAAAATCAAAATAAATTATATTATATTACTATAAATGAAAAAATTAAATTTATCTAAAAAATAAATTAAATTAAAATAAATTATTATAAAAAATTAAATTAATAAAAAAATAAATTTAAATAATATATATTAGCGTTCAGACGGACACTCTCGTATCTGTCTGTCCGCTTTTATTAATGTACTGACACGTCAAAATATAAAAGATATTTTTTATATATTTATTTTTTATTTTAATTAAATTATTTATAAAATAAATAAAAAATACTAAAATGAAAGAGATATGCAAACTATTATATAAAGATTAATGAAAAGAAATTGAAATTTAAAACATAAACGGAAAAGAATTTAAAAAAAAATAGACTATATCAAAAATAAAATTTATCTTTAATATTATATATATATATATATATATATATATATATATATATATATATATATATATATATATATATATATATATATATATATATATATATATATATATATATATAGATATAGATATAGATAGATAGATAATTATTTCCACATCAATTTGTTTTTTAAATTAAATAAAAAAAATCAAACCTAGGTGAAGAATATCTTCACGTTAATTACCACTAATCTACATCTTAAAATAAAAAAACAAAATCATATTTCAATCGATAGATCTGAGAAAAAATAAATCTGGGAAAAATAAAGTAAAGTTCACGTGCACGGTGGTTGAGTATGGTGTGAATTCGAGGTGGAGATTTATGGATTTTCTGACGACGAAGGTGAAGGATAGAGCAACTTGCGCGGTGGCCGGTTTCGTTTGCAGCGATTTCCTTCTTTTTCTTCTGTTTGTGGTTTTTTGTTTGTTTTTGTTTTGTTGTTATTACTGAATAAGTAACAAGTTGTTGTTATTTTTGAAAAAAGAAGTGGATTTGAATCTAGTGTGTTTTTGGTTTTTTTCATTGAGTTAATTGTGGTTTTGTTCTTGTTTTTCTTCTTCTGATTTTTACATTTTTACAGTTTTTCCTCTCTTATCAAGATCTCCCCTTTTTGATATTGGTTGAGTTTGAAAAGGGATTTCAAGTTTTTGTAATTTCTACATGATGAGGAGAATGGAAATGGCGAGGTTTGTGATTTGCAAAGAATGAGAAAAACTGATGTTATGAATTCAAATTTATGTGATTTACAACAATGAATGAGAATGAAGTTGGATTGTGTTTGTTCTCTCTTGAGCATTGGATGTCTGATATATCAAATTTCTTGCTGATTCGATTGTTACTCCTTCAAATTTCACTGAGTTTTTTCTGGAGGTTTGTGATTGTTGTGGGTAATTTGGGTGGAGAATGTCTTCACGTTAAAAGTTGAGATTAGAAAAATGAAGATATGAATTTCTGGGTGATGAAAATTGTGGAGATTTCTTCACATTAAGTAATTTTGATGAAGATATGGATTTAGGATAATGAAGATATGAAGATTTTTTTAAGATGATTTGATTTTTTTATTTAATTTAGAAAACAAATTAAATTAATTTTAATAGAACATTTATGATAATATAATATATATTATTTTAGTTTATTTTTATTCTTTAATTAATATTTTTATATATTATTTAAATAAAAAATAAGTATGAATGATGTGGAAATTGTTTTTTTCCACCTAAATCAGCCACATTATCAATTCAACTGCCATGTCATGTAAAACAACACTTAAATAAAATAGGAGAGTAAAATCCAATATAATTAAAATTCTGAATTTTAAAATAGGGGGTAAAAAAAAATAGAAGGTCAAATTTGCAATTAAGCATATATTTTTATTAAGAGTTTAATGATATTAATTAAGGATGGACAATGGTTCGGTTTTGTCGGTGACGGATTAAAAATTACAAACCGTTGATTAATTGTGGGTGAAAAATCACACCTAATTTCGTCTGTTAACTTCAACGGTTAGGTCAGATGTCGGCTTATTCTGATTTTCGATTGTGTGGGGTGGGTTAGATCGGTTTGTGGTTGGTTTCACACATGTTTTTTCAAATATTTCAAACAGGTCAAAAGAACAATATCCTGAAAAAATTAATGCTTTTCTAAAGAAATAAAAATAAAGCTTTGATTATAATTAATAACTTGTGTCACAAAATTATATATATCTTCACATCTTCGTAGTTATAGGAACAAACTCACCAAAAGAATTGATAAACAAATTTGACATTTATATTTAAAAAACTGGTTGGAGAAGAAATTAACAACAAATTTGATGCTTGAAAGGTAGATCAAAGAAGCTAACATACTTCTTTTATGTATATTTCAGTAATGGAGAAAGGAAATATGATGTAGTAATGGAGATATGAAATATGATATAGGTTTGAAAGATGAAGGAAAGATAAATACAGAACAAAAGAAAAGGTTGATAATTGGTTTGAGGTGAAAGAGCTCATTGATTTTAGAGATAGAAATGTGAATGAGATATGAGAAAATAAATTATTTTATTGATATATACCTTATTTTGCTGAGCCATGTTGTTCAATTAATAAAAAATTCAACAAAATCCTTCTTATGTCGGTCGGATGTAAGTTTGGGCGGATTGAATTTTTATATTCGAGATCTCCAACAAATAATTGTTTCAAACTGATAAATTTACACTGCGACGATTGTTGTCGCAATATCTGTACTGACTGAAATCACAAAAGTCTTTACACGACTGCAACTGTTATTTAAAACCTTACCATAGGTTTTATTAAATGACAATTGTATCGATGTGTGACATATTATTATTGTACCTACTAGACAGTATACCAATAACCTACTTAAAGAAGAAGAAAACAAGAATGCGTTATTCATCGAAATAACTTACCGGTCCAATGACTCTATCAAATTAAGTCGATCATGTCGGATAAAAAGCCCAATCACAAGAACAATGGTGAATAATGGAGAGATGGAGAGAATTGGAGAGAATTATGGTGAAAATATGGTATATTAATAGATAAAAAAACTTTACAAACATATATTACATATTTTATATAGGATCATAATACTAACTAACTAACTTCTAGTCAATAACCACATACATAGTTAGAATTAACCACATGATGAATTATCAATAACTACTTACTGAACTATCAGTAACCACTTATAGAACTATCAATAACCACATGACCACTTGAATTATTATTTTCTCAACATACCGCCTTAATTCAAGTCTTCTTTTATACTCATGTGTTTCTTCAACCTCTTGAATATTTCAATTGAAACTTCTTTAGTTAGTAGATTAGCCACTTGATCTTCACTATTGCAATACCCTAGCTTCAATTTTCCTTCACTCACATGTCCTCTCAAGTAGTGAAACATTATCTCTATAAGCTTGCTTCTCTGATGTGTAATGGGATTCTTGGAAAGGTTTATAACGAAAATGTTGTCTACATTAATGTCACAGCTTGATACTCTTTGTTGCACAACTCCTTCAATATATTCTTCAACCATACAGCTTGACACACACACATACACACAGACACACACACTACAATGTACTCAGCCTCAA